ACGGTTCTTCAATGACACGGTTCTTCAATGATACGGTTCTTCAATGACACGGTTCTGCGCTTCTTGGACCATAAACCGTGTAGAGATCCTCCTGCAGAAACCCTGCAGTGCCTGATAGGAAGTCAGAGACTTTAACTTCTGTTCTGGAGGCACTGATCAAAAAACACCAACATGTTCACTTCTGGATGGTGAAAGAACGCAAAAGGTTTGAGGCGACCTAAAGTCTGGACTAGATGCTGACCTGAAACCCCAAAGTGTCCGAAGTAAGGCGGTTCTACAGAGCTGCGATGATGACGACTCTGCTGGTTTAAAATAAGACTTTCCTATTTTCACATCTTTTACTTCAGCTAAAGCGTTCCTGTAGGTCAGGGGTCGGTAACCTGCAGCTCTGGATCCGCATGCAACCTTTTTCAACAATTCATTTTTTTTTTTTTTTTTATATACTGTAGTGTGCAGGAGGTCAAACAAACATTATATTTTCCAATTCTGTAAATATTTCTATAATAAATAAAGTTAAACAATAAATAGAAACATTTTTTCCAATTAAAATGAGTCATAGCCATAGAGATCAGTGGTCACCGCCTGCAGCAGGTTTCAGCGGCGCGGCGCCAGGCAGGTGGCTGATGTAAACAAAGCGGCGGGTGCGTCTCAGACGGTGGATCTGAAAGGGAAAAAAGGAAGAAAGCTGATGAGGAAAGAGGATTCAGAGAAGAAAGGAGCGAATTATCTGCTTTCATTACCAATCAGGAAGCATCGCCTGCATGTCTGCTTTGGATGAGAGGTTATAAAATAATAAAACATTTTGATTGCAGAACTTCTGGATAAATTAGAGGAGAGCAAAGATAGATTAAAGAAGTAGATTGCATCTCCAAACTCCACTACTGCTGCTAGTTTGGTTGCAAGTATAGAAAACCGTTCATAGATCCAACAGGTAGCGCTCTGATGCAGGGAAGGGAACTTTCTAACATTTTTATTTCCCCAAATCCTAAAAATAAGATGAAAGAACGCTGGTGATGGAGGATGAGGGATTTCAGGGTTAGAGAGCTCTGCTCTGATGATGTCACTTCCTGCTTGGTTCCTCATGACTCCATCAGCTCCTCCCATCAGAAACACGTCCGCCACAGAAACATTCCTTTATCCTGTTTCTATTATTTCATCAATGCAACAAAACCTAAACCGCGCGGTGAAGCAGCGAGCAGTGAGAGCGTTCACTGCTCCTCCCCACCTTCCTGCTACTA